TTTAGGAAGCTTTTCAAGCAACTTCTACCAACTAGGAAGCTTCTAGAAGGTTCCAGAGACTTGCTTCTAGAAGGTTCTAGAAACTTATCTCTAGAAGGTTCTAAGGACTATGTCCCTAACATCTTCTATTAACTAAGAAGCTTTTAGAAGGTTCTAGAGACTTGCTTCTAGAAGGTTCTAGAAACTTGTCTCTAGAAGGTTCTAAGGATTATGTCCCTAACATCTCAATACACTCTTGTGTCACTCGAAAATACTTAGAAATCACTCAAAGATAATAATATATTGAACTAGAATGGCTATTGTCAAAGACTAGAAAACATGATGACTCTTGAAACTAGACTAGAAATAAAAAAAAGAAGTTGACAAGAGTGAAGAAGGCTTCACTCTTGTCTCTATATATACTATCTAACTAAGGGCTATGTAGCGACATTTTATAGGACCTCTAATATGTGTTGACTTTGTAAGACACTTGCCTTGACTTACAAGGCAAGTTTTTCTACGTGTGGGCCACATAATTAGCTTGGTCTTCAAGCTAATAACATGTGTGGCACATGGCCAACTTGTTGACTACGTTTCTAATCCAAAAAGTCAATTAAAATTGCCTATGAAGTCAAAGCAACGTCTATGAAGCTTCTAGGAAGCTTCCATACCAAATACTATAGAATTAACTTACTTTTATCTATTTTTATTTACTTCTACTTATTTTTATATGTAATTACTAGCTTACATGAGTATGTCCGTGACAATTTTGGAACAACCATGGTCTTTTGTTTCTATGGATTTTATCACAAATCTTCTAATCTCAAGTTCGTATGATTCTATACTTGTGATAGTAGATCATTTTATCAAGATGGCACATTTTGTACTATGTATAAAATCAATCACATGGGAAGAAATGACTAAGCTTTTTTTGGACAATATCTATCACTGTTATGGATTGTCCAAGGATATTATATCAGATAAAGGGACTCAATTTATATCAAGATTTTAGAATATCCTTTTCAAGATATTAAAAGTAGATATAAATTTATCTTTGGCTTTTCATCTTCAATTTGATGGATAAACGAAATAGGTCAATCAAGTTTTGAAGTAGTATTTGATATATATTAGTAATCAAGTGACATCAAAATAGGTTAAAATATCTTATTCATTTGTACAAATATAATATTAATAAATATACATAGGAACAAGCAAAGAATCTTACAAATACAACAAAAAAAATTGAGATTTTTTATTGAAAATATCTATCAAAATCAAAATGAAAAATAACAAATCTTTATTATAAAAGAAACAAGATCTAAGGAAAATAGTATTATAATTTTTAGTCTTATTTGAAACTTTTGCACATTTATGACATTAAAGAAATAGAGAACCAATAATCAACAAATTCAACTCGAGAGCTATCACTTGTTGACTTAGTAGACAAATTATTTTGATTGCCACAATCTTTAAGATAATATAATTGACATGAAGATCTTGAAGAATGACATGTTTTTTCTTGAATAGATAGTAAAAAACAACGTATTTGATATCACAACCTTGAGAGAAACTCTCAATGTTTAGTGATTTTATTAGAGATCAGAACAACTCTTGATAATATTCCAAATATTTTATTTGAAGGGAGTTACGAAGGCCTTAATAAAAATTAAATTATAAGGTGGTCTTCTCACCTTGGTATTAGATACTATCAATGGTTGAGAGGACCTATCAACCATCTTCAGAGAAAATAAAGATCAGAATATGTGATAAACACAATTTGTCGTATTTTAGATTTTTTAATATATGATGACCATTTCTTGTAGAACTCATTTCTAGAAGGGAGGATAATATCATAGACATACATATTTATTCTAATATTTATCTATATGATTAAATAGAATTATGTAAAAATAGATTTATTTCATAATATTTTTTAAAGAAGCTTCTTAGAAGCTCTATAGATGTTGTTTTGACTTTACATGTATTTTTATAGTTGATTGATAGGTTAGAAACTTCGTGAACAAGTTAAACACATGTTGGTAGCTTAGAAAACAAGCGAACTATGTAGCGTACATATAAAAAACTCACCTTGTAAGTTAAGATATGTGTCTTGTAAAGTTAACACATTCTAGAGGTCGTATAAGATACTACCATGTAACTTTTAGTTAAGAGTATATATGGAGGCAAGAGTGAAGCATTCTTCATTCTTCACAATGTCTTTCTAGTCTTTAGTCTTGTTTCAAGACTTTCTAGTATTTTTGTCTTTGGCAATAGCCATTTTAGTTTAATACTATACCATCTTCGAGTGATTTTTTAGTCTTTTTGAGTGACACAAGAAAATATTGAGGTTTTCTTTCTTCAAGATTCATGTTTTTGATAGTAAGTGTATTACAAGAGCAATAATCTTCTTATGAAGGTGTTAGATGTTAAGGGCTAGCTTAATATTTTTGTTAGGTAAAGTAAAGATATTTTCATCCTAGTCTTTAGTGTATTTTTGTTTGTGTGTTTATTATTTCATATTTTTTGTTATTGTAAGATTGGACTTGAGACATTGGATTATGTCACTTAAGGAAGTTTTTTAATTATTCTTCTTAAGATGTATCAATACTTTCCTATCTCTTGCATATCTAGAAATTTAATTAGGAGAGTTCTTGTAGTTAGAATTTAAATTCTTTAGTATTATATATGGAATCAAATTAGTGATTTTTTATTTTTTTAAATACTCCTTGGATTGAGATTATTAAAGAGAGTCTATTTTTCCACTTAATTTCTTCATCTAAGCAAAATTCAACTCATGCTAGAATTATTTTGAGACCAAGATTCTACCAATGGATTCATATTTCATTTCTTTAAGTTTTATTTGTGTGCATTTGTATGTGAATATATATATATATATATATATATTAATTTAACAAAAAATTATTTTTAATATGATATTATATTGGTGGTTTTTATTATAAAGATAGAAAAAAAGAATCTTTTTAATTTTACTTTTAAAAAAGATGTTTGAAGCATTTCAATAAATGAAAAATCAAACCATGTTATAATAAGGTAAAAAAAATATTTTTTATAACTTAAGCATTTCAATATATATTCAATATGTATAAAAATAATATATATATATATATATATATATATATATATATATATATAAAGAAATAGAAATCAGAAGGATTATAAGTATTTTTCACACAATTTGGTCTAAAAACAAAATTAATGTAAATGTTTTAGTTGAAGATTCTCTTCAATCTATTTTGGACATATCTGCCTACCTAATTTTGTTTGGTAGTGGATTACAAAACTAAGAATCCAACTTTTACAAAATTGTGATGTATGGCACATACTAATGCTATTAAGAGAAATGTGGCACCTAATTGTACTATTATTCCTTCCCAACCAATCAAAAACTACCATCTATTGATAATTCACACATATCAATTCTAAGTACAATGAATTTTATATAGTGCTCACAACTTAATATCATTTTAACCAACTCCCAACTTATTTTGAATGAATAAAATGTTAGACCTTGTGACCAAACTAACAAAATTAGATAGGCTTGTATGTTGAAAATGGAAGGGGGTGGTGGACAATAGATTGGCTACCTTAGAGATTGATATACAGAGTTGCACAACACACACCAAAGTCAATCAATCAATTAATACATTCAAAGTATTGTATAATTTACTGTTTATATAGAGATTATTGATGTTATAATAATTTTAGCAACAACATTGAAATGTGAGCTATTAATATAATTATATTATGTTTTTAAAATCAATGTTAAACTTTATAAGTAATTATTTTTATCAAAAAGTATTCAATTTTATCAGATAATTAAAAAATGATTTAATAGATTAACATATTTTGATTTTCCTTCATGGATTAACTAAAGTAATTGAAATCAAATTCATTTTCTTATTTTTGATGCTAAGAAGACAATATAAAATAAAAAAATTAAGTCAACACAATTCGAAAATATATCTTTAATTTGAATTATTGTTTCTATACACTTGCATAATAACTGTGCTACATCCTTTATCAGAATACATTAGAAAACTTCAAAACCTTCTTTTGTAACCAGCTAATAACCATCCAGATTTCAATGAACAAAATTCTACTAATTAAAGTAGCTTAAAAAATGCGACTGTATATGTTTAACACATCCAAATTGAAAAACAAAACAGTGAATGATTTGAATGTTAAAGTTTCATTCCTTTGTTTTTTGAATAAAACAATTATACAATGTAAAATCAAAGCCCTAAATAAGTTAGCAAATTAGTTCACAATATATTTTCTTAAATTATGCTGAAAGGAAACTGATCCATATATATATATATATATATATTCATATGCATACATTTAGAATACAATAAAAACGTAATAAATACTTAGAACTTTTTTATTTTTCAATTTAACTTTTAAAGAATGTTTTTTTGTATTTCAATTGGTAGAGATCAATTCAACTACTCAGGTCAACCTGTTGTTTGTTTATTTGTTTTTTTTTTTTTTTTTTTCCTTATTTTTGTTTAATATGGATATCCCTAGTTGATTGCAGATTAGTTGATTTTTCAGGATGTAAAAATGTTGAATAATGCACTTATTCTCAAAGCAATTTTTAACATTTAAATTTTAAAAAAACCTCAATTTTAAAACTATCTCAGTTCCTTCAATATAAAAAATTTGATGCGATGGCTGAAGCTGCATTTGTATCCTGACACAAAAAGTAAGAACAGAAGTATTACTATGAATAAACAAAACGAAAAATTACAAAATACACATCATTCAGTAATTGTAATCGGGGACATAATTGGGTAGCTCATTATTTAGTGGGTAATAATTAAAGTAATCAGAAGACAATGTTTCAAAATTAGCAGAACATGGGGGCACCCATGCCCGGGTCCCCGCCCTAGTCTAGAATGGAGGGGGAGAGGGAGGGTTCTAGACTGTTCCACCGTACCCTATAACCCCATCTCCCACAGCGAACCCCATCACCGGGCCTTCACTTCCCTTCGCTTCTGTTCGTGCTTTGCTTCGCCTTCGTCTAAGTTACTGGAAGCTTCGGTGTTTGTTTGCCATTCTTTAATCGAGGTTTCAAATGGAGCTTTGATCATCACTTTGCAACCATTTCTCTCGCGTTCCTGCACGCTCACATTCCCCCCCCCCCCACACCCACCTTGCTCTCTCTCTCTCTCTCTCTCTCTGTTCGCGCGCTACCTGTTTTTCTTTTCATCTTCAGAGCAATTTTCATATTCCTTTGGGAGAGTAGTTTTTTCCACATTTCTGGTGGACGATTGAAGTTACAATCTGAAGTAAGTTTTACAGGTATGGTTGTCGTTGTTGTTGTTGTTGTTGTTGCGGAGAGTGTATGAGTCTTTCACGCGCCCCGCGGTGTGTCAGTGGCGTGTGATCGATGGTAGTGTGATTGGTTTCCTCATGGTTGTGGCGAAATTCGACAATGTCCACTCCATGTCGATGCAGGATCTCATTAAAATCCTCGCGCTCAAAGGAAAATCTTGCAGTGAATGGATTTTGTTAGGGCGTCTATGGACATTTGGGTTTTCTTTGGCGGTCTTTCTGGCTTGGAATCGTTTCCTGAGAGGATAAATGTGTTATGCACGCGCAGGTTGGTTTAGGGATGGTGGTACAATGTTATAATCCCGAGATATGAGTGTTTTTGCGCTTTGTGCGATATGGGGGTTGTGTCGTTGAGGGTTGGGTGTATCGTTTGTTTTAATTTGTGTTTATTTGAGTTGTTTTTTTGTTTTTTTATTTTATTATTATTTTTGACCAGATTTCTGTCGATTTGGATTCTTCTGTCTGCGTAATGGGAATGCATTGTTGATGGACTGCTGTTGTTTTTGTGAAAATCCACCATCGTATTGATGCCCTCCTTTTTCCATGTCATGACAAGTATCTGTGAGATAATATTCCGTTTGTTGAATTCTGTGGTGATTGTGAAGCAGATGGCTTCAGACCTATTGGAAGACTTGCAAGAGCTTCGGAAGCTTCTTGAATTAGCTAAGCGACCCCACGTTCAGGCTTTGTTGTCCAATGAAATCTCTAACCTGGAGAAGGTAACATCTTCTACATCCGCACAATCCAATGTCTCGGAGCACTTGAGCGTCACTCGTATCTGTCCATATAGCTTCGTGAATGCGCCGTGCACTTCTTGTATTAGTATCTCTGATGATTACAAATTTTTCTCGTCCACAATTCCATAGTCGTGATGAGTTCAGAAACTTGGTAAGAGAACATTGAGATTTTTTCTAGATTGTAGATCACTTTTCGGATCGGTTGAACGACGTGTTCTGGTGGTCTCGTACACTGTGCGGCGTGATGTTAATTGAAAATTCTTTTTCGTGGACTAATTGTGATACCTACATGTGCTTGTGGATGCAATTGATTGGCAGGTGCGGGAAACCTCCATGGAAGTAGAAGAGATGCCTAATCCTAGCACCGCGGATAAAGTTTCGAACGAGGTTGCACCGGTGGAGAGAAGACCGGCCTCGCGATCTGTTCATTACATCAATTTATCCACCTTCAGTTGGGACGAGGAATCTGAGAAAGTGAAGGTATAGACGTCGTCCAGCTGCTTTTGTGAAAGTGTTGCCTGGGCACCGCACTGTAGAGATCACTCTTATGTCTATTCATTCCAAATTTTTCAAATTGTCGGATAAATATTATCAGACGACTTTTTGTGTACAGGATGTCTTTATCTGCGTATCCTACATGGATGCGTGGATATTTGAATACATGTGTTCTTGTTATTAGAGGTGTGCATAATAAAGAATTTAAACATCTTGTTATGTTTCATTCGAATCTCATCAAAATTACTCCTCCCTAAGCTTGGAAAGGAGTTGCGTAAACTCAATTAATAGTTATGATTCTTCAGAGGTATCCACTTGCTTATTTTGAGAGGAACCTGATGTCTCTGATAGCATAGGAACTTTTATATCGGTTTGTATCAGGGTTGGGGTTTTAATGTGTTCTGCTCAATGGGTATTTTGCAGATTTACATCTCTTTAGAGGGTGCGGCCCAGGAGAAAGTTGAGGCTGATTACCAGGAACAATCGGTCAATTTGAAGATTCACGACGTGAATGGGAAGAACTACCAGTTTGCTGTTCCTAGATTGGCGAAAAAGATTGTACCATCGGCTTGCAAGTTTCTTGTTAAACCAAAACGGGTCATCCTCACGTTGAAGAAGGCCGATTTGGGTAGCTGGTTTGAACTTACAAAGAAGGAAGAGAAGGTAATGGATCGTGGTTTCGCATCAAGTGTCCCCTCACGTCAACTCTTGGGTGTTTGTTCGAGCATAGTGTGTCGCTTGCTACAAAGTATTGGAGCTGAGGACTCAGCTTGGTGAACTTCGCTTATTTTGGATGTGGTGTTTGCCTATACCTTCTAGTTTTTTAAGATCACATTGGTCCGCTTGAAACTGTAAAAGAAAATGGATAATTAAGGCTTTCGTGTCAACCACCTTGTAAATGGGAGATGCTCAGAATTATTTACTTGTAAATAATATCTCACTTCGAATGCCGTTTTTGCTGCTTTTGCTATGCAGATTAAACCTCCATCTCTGGACAAAGAGGCAGACCCAATGGCAGGTTTAATGGGCTTGATGAAGGTATGTTTTTAAGATATGTCAGAGTCCGCACAGTTTGCTTCATTTTCATTGCCATGTTAGCAGTCTAAGGAGGCTGTGAATACTTAGAGCATATAGTAGCTTGATTCTGTAGGTACTTTCGGTATGGTGATGGTCGCTTTCAAACTTCGCTCTCAGTTCTTGTTCTTCCAGGTTTCGGTTTTCGCGTTCTGATTTTGATTGTATTGTTTCTGTAGAACATGTACGAAGAGGGTGACGATGAGATGAAGAAAACCATAGCCAAGGCATGGACTGATGCTCGGTCTGGGAAGCCTGGAATGGGTTCAAGTTCGATGGATTCATTTTAAGGTATACGATTGTCACTTGGTAATTCAAGCTTGCATGACCCTTCCTCATTCACTTGCAATGCTTTTCGTTGTTGAGATGAGACATGTTGAAACTGATAGTTAACAAATTAGGATAGAGGACGTTAGGTGCTTTGAGTCACTATTTTTAAGTGATGTGTTAATCATCTTTTGAATACGATCATGTATTCTAATATTGTGTCATGATAAATGGAAGAAAAAGGAAAAAGAAAAAAGAAAACGTGTCTAAAGTTTTTGTGTTACTTTGAAAGTAGCTGTAGAGATTTCCACTCTTGTTAGTTTGATCTTGTAGAAGGCAAAGTTCAAAATAAATTGGCCAACACTGCAATCGAATGCTAATGTGCTCTTTTCCATGCACAGGTATTGAAGACTGTCCTTATGGTCCTTGTTATGAGGAGAGGCGGTGGAGGAAAATTATCATGAAGCAGCATTGTTTTACGAGGACCAATAGCATGATTGTGTGATAGGTGCCAAAGCATGACCAGTTCTTTTCATGGTAGTTGACAATTTGGTCGCAAGCTAGCTTCAAGGTTAGTAGAGTACTGTTCATTTCGCAACTACATTTTGCAACGGGCGCTTTGCGTGATTTAGTTGATTGTAAGGAGTGTCGCACAACGGCATCATGGATAACTTCACTTAATTTTCTCCAATTTAAGTGCCATATACAGACCAAGTATTGCTTTTTCGAGAATGAAAAGAATGATCTGGATTATTTTCAATACCGTGCAATCTTGTTCAAGATGTGAAGCTACTTCTTGTAGGCCTACTTCACAGTTGTGTATATGTATATTTCATGAGCATATTTTTCAAGAATTGCCAAGGGATTGAATTGAAATAAATAGATGACTTAAGCCATGAAATTAGTAGATACTTGTTTTGCTTTATCAAATAAGTATTTGCTCTCAAAGTTTTTTGTTCTCAAAGTTTTTTATTTAACTTGTAGTGATTGTTTCTTTCACTTTTCAAAAAATTATTGCAATATGTGATGATTATCAAGCCACCAATAATACACCACAAGATCTATCTTAAAAACTTGTATACATTATCAAAATTTTGGTTTTGCACATAGTTGAATGTTTTTTTCTACAAGTTTGATTTAGTAGTCCTCAGTCCAATGGTGATAAGAATAGTCTACAGGAAATTATGAATAAGGGAGAGAATAGTTGAAGTAGAGATGTAAAATTACAAATAAGGGTGGGAATAGTCCAAGAAGAGATGCAATATTACAAAACATTGAAGTTTGGATTTACAAACATAAATAGAATGCAACTTGGAGCCCTTACTACTATTCAGGCTTGAAATGAAAACCATCAGAATGTAAGTGATCATTTCTTCCATGTGGGAAGCTTGCTAAGCATGTTTGTTGTAGGTAACAAAAAGTTACATATTAGAAGAATAGATTTAGTCTTTTTGCTTGCAGATGAAATTTTGCACATCAATTTTTATCCAAATATCTAATGTAGTACTTGTTTTGCCAAATCTATGACTAGAATTGTTTTTTTTAAACAATTCTAGTCATATATATATTCTAAATTATTAAAATGGATTTTTGATTAAATAATAAATTTTAATATGTGAAAATTTTAACTTAAATTAAGTTTTGGATTTGTTTATCTATAAATCTAGGCTTTGATTAAAATAACATGACTATTCTTATACATTATAAGTAAACTACATACATTAAAAATATAAAATATATAAATCCAAGAAATATTGATGTAATAAAATAATATGATATTATTTCTATTTTATTTTTTCAACATTATGTTGATATACTTGTAATAAATATTTTGAATTTTTTAAAAATTAATTTCAAAGTAAATCTTAAAGTAATTTTAAAATATTTATTGCAAGTATAATTGAATAATTTTAAAAAAGTGAAAATAGAAATTAGATAAATAACTATATTTCTCACTTAAAAGTTAAATTTTCATATGGTATCAATAACTTTCATAAATAAATTTAATGACTTTTCATTCAATAAAGCTAATTTTATCTCAGCTGCTTATTTGGAGCTAAGAATTGAATTTAAAGAAAACAATAGTTACATTCAATAAATTTTTGTGTTTTGAATAAAAAAATGTAACTTTTTTCCATAAAACATATATTTAGAATGTATGTAAGTACACATAAATCATATGACAAGTCATAAGTATAAACTTGTATAAAAATATGATGCTTTAATTATATATTTTCATCATGTTTATAATGATTGTTATGAAAGATAAAAGATAAAGGTATAAATCTGCAACATTGAATGATGAAGATGTCAGATAATCGTTAAAAAATCAAATCCAATCAAATAATGGTGTATGCATAGATCAAAGTTATACAAATGATATTAGATATTTCATTTATTCATTTATGTGTAGATACATGCATATATACATAAAAAAGCTCAAAATTTTAAAATGACTGTGTTGTGATCTACTAAAAAACAATGATTCAAAGTATAAATTGACATATAATATAATCCAAGAACATGCAGAATTTGTTTTTAAGATTAACAAAAATACAATTCTAGTTACCACTCTTTTTAATTGAAACGATTCGAAATCAAAGTTTCTAACTACAGTTGCAAAATTTTGAAAACATGGTTAATACTTGTGATGCAAGTTTGATCTTATCAATTAAAATCACTAAAGAAATCTTAATAATTAGTAGACAATACCAGGATAATTCAAAATCTTAATTATTAATTTTTAAATATTTATTAATACTCTACAAAATAAAATAAATTATAAAAAGATAGTTACTTCATGTAAAATATATTACATTAAAAATACTTTAAAATGATTGTGGTGTTTATTTAGGACTTATAGTAGATAGATTAAGAAGATAAACTCCAAAAACAATGACCAATAATTTAATTACAACCACTATCTTTACCTTACATAAACAATTATTCAAATGACAACACTTCCCATAATATTATATAGTAGTATTCAAGATTTTTAAAAACTACAAATAATATATATATATATATATATATATATATATTAGTTGAATTATATATATATTAGTATATATATATATATATATATATATATATATATTATACAACTAATATATATATATATTAGTTGAACCTGTGTTGTTGTCATAGAAAGCTTGACTCCAAAAAAGCATTTTTTCAAAGATATGTTTGTGAGTCAAAAAATACTTTTTATATTTTTTTGAAAAAACACCAAAATAAAATACAAAATAGAACTTTTAGCTTCAATGGGGGCTAGTTCATGGTGGAATCCCATTGCTTCATCAAGAAAGTACTTCCATTGATTCTCTAATCTTTTAAATTATTTTGTGCTCAACAACTTTATTCTTGTTTGGAATGTTTATAGCAACCGCTTTGAGCTTCCTTAGACAAGCTTGAAATTCTTCTATAAAACTTTAATAAAGTTGCCACAACTACTCTTTTATTGACTTTGATCTAGGCATATTTTTGAGGATGATATTTTCATTAGTTTTGCAAAAGTTTGTAGTCAATGCTCTTGTGCTTGATCAAATGGGCCATTGCCATGCTACAATTCCAAAAGCTTCAGCTTTTACTAGTAAATTGTGAGCAGTAGATAATTTTTAACTACTAACAATACTTAATATAATTTTGTGCTATGTCACTGACAATGAAGAATCAAACTTCTATTTAGATGTGCAATGTGAACATATCAAAATAGTCAAAGGATAATCTATCCTTGTAGGTACCTACAAATCCAAATTAAACTTCATGCACTGTAATGACATAAGCTTCTTTGGTATCATTGGCATATGTTTTGCAATTGGATAATCATGTCCTAATTGGATAATTTTTTAAAATTTTAATATGATCCAAAATAGAGCCAAAAGGCAAAGTAGCGATAAAAAAAAACCTTCTCTAAGGTGCCATTTCTATAGGGTGCATTAGATGGAGTTATAACAATTGCTTTGATGTATGTAATAGCTTCATATCTTTAGATCTTATTTGAAAACTTGAATTGAGACTAGTAGTGCTTTAATTCACGATACAAAAGTTTTTACACGAGTAACACTCTATAAAGAATCAACAAAAATCTCAACAATATTTTTTTTCATCAAATAGATTTCACATGCTAATAATTAAAGTGTAATAATTTAAGCTTGCAAGAATATAATGCTCATGAAATAGTGAAGATAAAGTTAAGAAGTTGTAGCTTTTAAATCTATATTGCTTTGGTAGAATCACCGACAACCAGAATGAAATAGAAAGCAAACAAATCCAAACATGAAAGTCTATGTGGGTGCAACCTTAAATAAGTAAAGCATCTTTTATAAATTCTATTCTTAGACTTGATTGATTAGGATCCTTTTTTGTGACATACATCACGTAGCCTTTTATGCGCCCTAGAGTTGGTCTCATGTGTATCATACGTTAAGAAACATGCATGTCAAAGCCATAGTAAAAGAATGTTGGAACATATAATGACAAATGATCTCCAAAGGTTTGAACTTTTGGAAAAAATAAATTAATGAGATATAGGTTTATACTCAAGTCATAGCTACCAATGGATGCATGCTACAAAATCCATCAAAAACTAAAATAACCATTGTAAATTTTTATACATAATGTATAAAAATACTTTCTTTTATGTTAACTTAAAATATTAGACTACTTGAGGGAGATTCGAATTTTGCACACATACCTTGAGATACAAGTTATCAAAGTTAATTTTTTTGCTTGCATTTAACATTTAGCATGGAAGAACTAAACATAGACTCATATATCAAAACTGGCTAAATTAATTGTTATTTTAGGAGCTTTGAAAAGAGTTCTATTTATTTAAGATACACTATATAATTGCCAACTAGAGTTTGATATTGCTTTTGCAAATAGAGTACTAATTGAACAAAGTTAACAACAGATACATGGATACTATAATAGTATTATATTTTTTTTGAATAAAAAACAATTTCTTGCTGTCCTTTGAAGCCACATTGTTTAAATGAGAATAATAGAACTCATACATGTTATCACACCATATAAATTCCATAATTAAGAAATGCACAACCACATATTATACTTCTATAGCCTCCATCTTTCACCAAAACAATCATTTGCTTTAGTATTGGTTCTTTTTTGCTTATGGTGTGTTTTTGCTTTCATTGATGAATATCTACTCATTTTTGCTTACATTGGCAAGGATTCAATGATATTGGCTAGATGTTCTCCAATTTGAATTCTAAAATTGATTTTTTTAGATCTTGTGAACTCAACTTTTGGTTTATTTTTGATAAAAACTTTTGATGAAAACAATGATGCATGTAGCAAATCAGAGAGGGTTTTTATCTGATCTTGTTTATCACATGTATTTATTGCCCCCTCCCTCGAGTTGTTTTATATAAGAGATATTAATGTATCAAATGAAAGCTAGAAAATTACTTAAGTAAGCTTCTTAATACTAGTAGATATACAAATATAATAATTGTAATTATATAGCTTGTTAACATAAGTTGTTACTTAAACATAAATGAATTTTTGATCAAATTTTCATTTTTATTTTTTTAATCTTTAAAATTTTGTTTTTTTTTTTTAAATTTATTTTTTCTATGTCAAAAAGAAATGGCCTTAAAGTACTTGCTAGTATATATATATATATATATATATATATATATCTCTCTCTCTCTCTCTCTATATATATATATATATATGATATTTGTGTATTATTATAGAGATTCTAAAAGTTAAAAAATATTCTAATATAATGTTTTTGTATTCAAAGAGAACAATATTTTTCAACCACTCTTGATAATTTTGTTCTATTCCATTCTATTTAAAATTCTTAGTTTTTATTTTTTATTTTTATTTTTTTCCAAACTTCAATGAAAATAAAAATAATTGCTTAATAGAAAAAAAGAAGAAGAAAATAAAATATGTGAATTAAAGGGCACTGCAACTTGATATAAATATACAAATAGGTATTTTTAGAATTAAATATTAATAAAATATTTGTTTAAATTTTAACGTATACTTAAAAAAGATAAATAAATTAATAAAGTTATATGAATTACATAACTATTCTAACAAGTTACAAAAATCATTAAATCTTTAAAGTTATATAAAATCTTAGATTGTTTGATTATTGACAATCTCTTCCTTAGTTTGATTTTTTTTTTTTTTTTTTCTTTTTCTTTTGTATTTGTAGATTGCCTTTCTATATGTTTCTTAATTTATTATTATTATTATTTAAAATTAATAGCATTTTTTTATATTGGTGATATAAAAAATAAAAACAAAAACAAAACATAAAAAAACAAAAAACAAAAACAAACCTAAGCATTAAAAGCCATTATTTCAATACTAGACAAAGTCATTATATTGTATATATGTTATTCTTTCTCCTATTGTTGCGATTACTACTCCTACTACCATCTATCATCTCTTCTATTGTACTAGCAGAAATCTATGTCATTGGGCTCAAAAAAGCTGTAAAATAATTGGCTATTCAGATAGTAAACTAGAGGTCTTTCTACAGGTTCTACAGGGCTTTTAGATGATCAACAATTTCTTTGATTTTGGACGATGAGAAGGTTTCTTTATGTCTTCGTCTTATGCCTAAGCTTCCTTATCATATAGACATTTCTTCTTCCGCTTCTTCTTCTTCAAATCTTAAATGCATAAAATCAAAATGTATTTATCCAGCTTCAAAGTGCACAATAACTTCTAAATAATACCCGGCTCCCGATACCCGGCACTCCAAGAGACCGCCGAAGAAGATCGCCACCAGGTGGTGCAGGAAGTGGGCACCGAATGCAACAACTTAGGGCACAGCCGGCGTCCGTCCGTCCGTCTTCACGACGAAGCGGCGGCGACGACGAGATTTCCGTTGGACGCAACGAGCGATCGTCGTGATTGTAACGGCTCCTTCCTTACTTCCTCAATATGCATTCGCATTCGAATCAAACTGGGACGGCCCCCTTTCTGCCTTCCTTCACCGCCCTTGGGAATCGCGCCCCTCAAGCTTCGTGGTCTGCTCCGATTCAAACTGGGCCTTGATCTCGGCGTTGGTGCTAGCGAGTTTCGCGATCTGTCGTGGAGACTCCCCTGTTGTGTTGTTAGTCTGCGGGAAGCTCAGCAAAGGGGTCAAGGGAGTTTTCGAATTGGGCCTGGGCGCTTGGAGCTTTGTTGGAAGAGCAGAGTTTGTGTGATAGAGAGAGAGGGAGTGGGTGTGAAGACTGCAGCTATGGCCTCGAAGCAGCCTACTAGGGATGTGATCACTCTCAAGGGCTCTGCCGCTATTGTCAGCGAGTTTCTGTGCTATTCAGGTACCCGAAGGGATTGGCCTGGGCTGGGCTGGGGTTTTAGGAACTTAGTATGTGTGGGTCGTGGGCAGGGTATGTTTTTTAGGGTGTGATTTCGAGGATGTACTTTAGGGGCCTGGTTCACGAGTTCTTGCATTGTACCAGTTGTTTAGATTTCCGTTTTATCAGCGGACCGGAGGATGTCTTGAACCATGCGTGTTGTAATTCCGGTTCATTTCGATCATAGAAAGTTGTGGTGTCGGGTATGCTGCCGACTCTTGGATGCCAGCCTGGTTTTAATCGCATGAGGTGAAAGGAAAGTGGTCCTGAAGCATCGAACGGTAGATGTTAACTGGCCGACCTTGAGGACGAGAATGGGAATGGGAATGCAGAGTCCTGTCATTGGCGTGGGGTTGTTTGTGTTTTATGAATTACGCCTCTGTTGTTAATACGAAAGTTTGCCATATTTGTACGGTATTCTTACATGTGGCATGCGATAATGCCTGCAGTGAATAGTATTTTATTCCAGCGAGGGGTCTATCCCGCCGATGAGTTCGGCCGCGTGAAGAAATACGGCATGACGTTGCTCATGTGCCAGCAAGAAAGAGTGAAAGCTTTCATTGACACGATCACGCAGCAGATTGCTACTTGGTTGGAGACTGGAACTCTTCAGAGAGTGGTCATGGTAATTGCCAGCATGTCCACGAAGGAAGTCCTGGAACGCTGGAACTTTAACATTGAGAATGACAACGAGGTTATTGAAAAAGGGTAAGATGGTTGCACTCTTACTTTTGCTCAGGTCTTTGCTTTGCATTACTATTTCTCAGTGGTCACTGTGATCAGCAACCTAATATTCGTGCCGTATTTGGCGACGTGCAAATGGAACAGGGTCACTAGAGAGAAGAGTGACAAGGACATTATGACAGAGATTCAGGCAATCATGCGGCAAATCGCCGCCAGTGTAACATTTCTTCCCAACATTGAGGAAGCTTGCACTTTTGATTTGCTCGCATACACGTCCGTTGATTCTGAGGTAAGAACTGTTCATCAACCCGTGCCACACATCTTCGCTCATCGTCGTTGGAAGATGTGTGGTAGCTGTACGGCTTAGTTCCAGTTCCCTTAATGTTACACAAGCTCGTATCCCATTAACTGTTCGAAATACACGTACATGGCTTACAGGTGCCAGCTGAGTGGGCGGAAAGTGATGCCCGACTGATTCATAACCCGCAAGTTGTCAAGTTGAGATCTATTGACACTATGGTATTTGATGCTAACCCTTCTCAAACTTCCCTCTATTTCCCTTGTAGCGCAGACTTTCTTGCACTGATTTTCCTACCTGCTTAATACGAAATCCCTGCGTACATACGGAACAAGATGATCAAGTCAGCGCGGATGCCATTGACTTGACATTTGTCTTCTTAATGGCGGGGTCTGGGGAGTAGTGCATTATGTTCTATGTGAAACTGCTCTTCTAATCCCTCGCGCCTGCGCAGGTACATCAAGTCGAAGCCATGGTAGCCTATAAGTTTACTGAGGAGCTTTAGTGGTCGCGGAAGCCTTCTATCATTATCAGATCAGTAAGTATACAAGGTTTAGAGAGTTTTCCTGCTTCAAGGTGCAATTCGTGAAGTGGATCCTTTCTTTGGTATTTAGTTTGAGGTCAAAGCTCTTTGCCCAGGGACTGTCTGCAGTGAACGCACCCCACCTCTCTCCAGTGAGTAGACCTAGGGGAAGATGTGTATATATAGTAGAAATTCTCATGTGCCGTGGCATCCACAATCATGCCATCTTCATTTTCAAGGATCAGTGCCATTTCACATGCACTGTTAATTCTTCATTCCAACTCAGTTCATGAGTGATCGAATCAAGTTGTATTTGTTAACTGTTGGTATCGATGGTTATTCATTGTCCTCAGCATTCCTGCACCTGACCTCGATAGCTGTTCTTCGCGTTAAGAGGTGGTCTGAAGTGCGGATGACTGATCCGACTAGACAGCTCACGGGGTAAAGAGCGAAAGCACAGTCTCACCCACATTCCTTCAAATTTCCAGGCAATGGTGAAGATTCAACGGCTCTTCAAAGTCATGTCTCTGTGAGTTTTGGTATTTCTCAAGTTTACGGACTTCCTATCCACCATGATAAATAGAACGAGATTAATGCTTCGTTTGTTGAAACAAAAGAAGTCTTCGCCCATTCACACCAAAACCCAATTAGAATCCCGCTTATGAATTAACTCCCGGTGCATTTATTGTCAATGTACCTTCAAGAAAATTTAATTATCAGAAAATAGTTGTTACTGTACATAGTTATAAATTTTGGTTCTGAATCATGATACGTCCACTTGTTTTCAAAGGAGTTCGAAGTTAATTCGTAGAAAAGGACACAAAATTACGTATAATTGAAATACTAACAGTATCGCACATGTGCATAAATGAGTAAAGAATTTAGTCGCTTTAATAAAACTTGAAACAACACACACACATAATTGTCATTCTACCAAGCCAGGTAATACTGATGCTGAAACTCCTAATAACTACCTCAAAAATTCTTTGAATACTTATTTAAGAGGATGGGTGTATATCATCATGCAGTATCAATGTTTAGTTGTATGAAGAGTATGAGAATGTTGGATTACTAAACAGCATCTACAACTAAGATCTTGTAGGACTCTAGGTTATTTTTGATGATTTGTGTTTGAGTGAGTTTTAAACTTTAAAAAGAAAATTAATAAATATATTTTTGAACAATTAGTTAATGGTTGATTTAATCTTTTAGATTTCAAGAAAAGAGCTATTTAGAAAACATTTTATTTGAATTATGGACATGAGTACAAAATCTAAAAATAAATCATAGTGTGGGCAATTAAATGTGTGGAGTATTAATGTTGTTTGATATAACAAAATAATAATAATAATAATAATAAGAATAATAATTCAAAGTGTGTATTATACATGATATTTAATGATTTTTCCTCTTCTTATTTCTTGTATTGTAGTGGCATTGTTGTAAAGAGGTAATACTATTTGAATTGTGTACAATTTTTTGGACAAGATAAGTAGTTTTCTAAAAAGGAGTAAAAAAAATAAGACAATAGAAAAGGTAACTAGTTATGATTAGATAATCAAAGAAGAATAAAAAATTAAAAACAACAATAAATAAAATACAACAATCAAGATCTAAAAAGGTGTACTATTTTGTGTAAATATCATATGTCCAAAAATTAATTGATTTTATAGAAAAAGAAAAGAAATTTCATACTTTTAAAAATACAACAAAAAATTTGTAGGCAAAATATACAAGAACAATCTATTGTAAAAATGCATCAATCATTAAAAAATGAGTTATAAAATATAAGTTGTTGAGGGTATAAAAATAGAAAAAATGTTGTGCAAAGCAATGCATCAAAAAGTTGTTCAAGAACAATTAAGAACTCAAAGAATTCTATGAAGTATTACATCATATATATAAACAAAGATTATTGGGTGCTACAGCAAGAAAGAAAACATGTGCACGATTAATAGAGTTTGACTAATAAGTAAGGGAGAAATAATAGCACATATAAGAATTAATTTCAACAAAGAAGTAATTAAACAAAGGTACAAAGAAAATTTGTAATTAACAAAAAGTAAGTCAAAAAAATCTAAAGCAAGAAAGTGCTAAAGAAGAGTCTAAGCAAGGGAGATAAATCAACCAAGAATATTGAACATGAGAAAATAAATAAAAAACTATAAATTATACAAGGAAAACTAATGTGAAGGAGATTAGTGTAGTGGATACAAAAATAATTAATTGGTTGAAAAAGAAAATCAATTGAATGAAAGATTTTTGTATTTATTACATAAAAATGGTTCCAATAGTTACAAATTTGTGCACAAATGCAAATTAAAAAGAATATAAGTAGAATAAAAATAAAACTTAGTATAATTGATAGCAAAAAATCCATAAACCATTGATAGTGGTAAGATCCAAAATATGATAGTAAAGCACAATGAATGTGCAAAAAGAAAAAATATTATAATAAAAGTAATTAGGTAATTTACTAAACAAGCTAAGAATTTGATTAAAGCTTATTAGAAAAGAAGAATAAAAAACCAATTAAAAACTAATCAATTTTTTGATGGATGAACAAAAAGTTGCTTGCCAAAAATATAAATTTTGGAAACATAATACAATGCAACATATTGGTAAATTTTGTGGATGAAGATAATGATTCATTGGCAAGCTTAGAAGTAGCAAATGAAAAGATAATTTCTAAAAACATAATAGACATAAATAAGTAGACGAAATATATGTATTATGTATATTGGAGAGATGGAAGTGTAAAGTTTGCAAGGTAAGCATTGGTGCTAGTGAAGTAGTTTTGCTAAGGAAAAATAGGTGGAGACTTTGTTAGGCAATATAAGTTGAATAAAGAGGTGTCTTTGGATACTTGTGGATATTATCAAAGCTATGGAGAAGAAAGAATTGATTGGCAATAAGGTGACCAAGGTGCTATAATATAACATCTAGTAATATTTGAGTGGTAGATTGTGAGAGATTTGCTTGTGCATGGCAGTAGTATTGGTAATTATGTTGAAGTGAATGATTCAAGTTTTTATTCAAAGCCCTAAATAGAAGCATGAAAATGGTAGAATTAAATGTTTGATAAAAAAGTGATAAGTTAAGACTTACTATTCATTATTAATATTTACATTGTAATATAATTTCACTTCAATATAGATTAGCTTTTAAAAATAAAAATAAAAATAATATCAAATATATAAATAAGATTAGAATAAATTTACTTTTTATTTTTTATATTCTTGTGATGAATAATATATTAAAATTTTTATAAGATTTTTTTTTTTTTTTTTTTTTTTTTTTTTTTGGTTAAAATTCCATTTAAAAAGTTTTTTTTACCAATTGATTATGTTTGTATCAAATTTTATTTTATGACAATTTCATACAATAATGTAATGAGGTATTAGACTTTTTCTTTTTCTTTTTTGTTTAAATTATCTTAATTTTTTTTTAATAATATTTATTTTATCTCATTGCAATATATTTTCTGAAGTCTTTATTTTCTTTAAATTTTTTCAAATAGGAATATTTCTACTATTTTATTTATACCATAATAACCTGAATAAAAAAATATTAATATTTATGATTTATTATACCAATTTATTTAAATTATTATAAATTAGTAGAATTTTATATAATAAAGGTGGTATATTATTAGCTTCAACTTAATATATATATATATATATATATATATATATATTCAAAAATTAAATTATATATATAAATATATAAATATATATAATAATTAAAAAAATTTAAAATTTAAAATTATTTAAATATATTATATTAAAAATATTAATAGAAATTAATATTTTTAATATACTAAAAAAATCCTATAATATTTTTAAAAATATATTCAACAAATATAATATGAGATTTGCAAACCAACTCTTAGAGTAATAAGAAGGTTTTGTGGTGGCTTCTTAAGAGTAAGAATCTTCTTTAATATCCACATGACCCATCTATAGATGCGATCCATATTCATAAAACATGGTCAATCCAATCTATTTCTTCTTGCTTCTACTTACTTCTATATATCTCTATTACTTAAATAATATAATTATCTATGATAATATGTAGTTTTGGTAAAAATTCTACTCTATCTACTATCCAATTAAATTTTATAAATTATATATTATAAGTTTTTAAATCTTATTAAAATAATAAAATCAATTTTATTTTTTTGAATTCATTTATATATGTTAGTCTGAGTATTGTCTAAAATAATAATAATTACTTTGTTAAGAATTTTAGTTTTATTTTTTAGTATTTATGATTATCTTTCATAATTTAGTTACTTTTAATTTCCAATTATATACTCTATTTTGATAAAAAAAAATATCCTTTTTTAAATTAAAAATAAAATAAAAATAAGTAAACATTAGAATCTTTATATTTATCATTTCAAACATAATCATAACAATTTTGGCATTAATTTAAAAATCATAACCTTTGAATTCTATTTTTTTTTATATAGTATGTTTTAAATATTTTAGGATATATATATATATATATATATATATATATATAATACAATATACAGAACTATTCCATGAAATATATGTGTTTAAATATCTGAATGTTGAAAATAATTAATAGGAATAACTATAAGATAAAATTGAAAATCATAGATGAAAGTGATTTATTTGATGGCATCTCGTTCTAAAAGCACACAATCTAACTTGAACCAGATAGTATTTGTAAAATTACTTCAGAATTCAGAAATAATTACAGACTTATTTTTTCTTGCCATATTATAATAATCTAAGTATTTGATATTTCATTTTATTACTTATCCAAAATCACCAATATAAGTAAATATTCTAAAATATTAAATGTTTCATAAAATGGACAATAAAAATGTAAAATGTTTTTTAGCACATACTGATTTTGTTTGTTTGTTTGTTCTGTTTTTAACAAGTAGCTTGTTTATATGGACTAGGTAGCATAAGAAGCACAGGATTTTTGCTCCTATAAAATAAAAGTAATATACTCTTCCCTATAATATGTTTTAAAAAGGAAAACTTCTAAACAAAACATAGTTGCACAAAGCTAAAAAATAAAGTAATATGATACAAATTAAAAATTAAAAAATAACAAGATATTGATTCAAAAATTTTAATAAATAAAAAACTGTATTCAGGATGACAAATTAAATACACATATAGAATGAGCAAAAAATAACATAAATTAAGTACACAAGTCTAGATTCAACACATAATAATTCTCAAAAATAAAAAATAGTCAGAAACACACAGAATGGGTATCAAAATAAAGTGTGTGTCAAAATTTTGAAAATCCAACATAATCTAGAAAATCTATA